CATAAGGCACACGCTGTGAATCAGATCCGGTCCCTAACTTCAGCAACAACAACAAACAATGAGGAAAAGGAAGGAGAGAATTTAATAAAAAAATGGCACAAATGAATGTTCTCAATTGACCTTAATGTAATTTTTCATTGTTCTTAATCTTAACTTTTTCTTTGCCTTTTATTTGTTGTTGCTCCTCGACGTCCTGTAATGAAGCGTTGTCTCTTGCAAGACTTACAATTTGATTAATTTGTCTTACTTAATATGCTTGAAGAATGGCGAATCTCTTGTTCTGCAATAAATTTTTTAATTCATTATTTGAGCTACACAAAAAAAGAAAAACTTTTGTTTAAGCGAGACAGAAGAAAAATGTTGGAAGTTCAAGCGGGGGTTGATTGGAAATGATGTCTGTTGAAATGTTGGATTTTAGGGGGATTCAGCTAAAGAATCATGTTGTATAGTCGCTTTAGTAGTGTCGATAATGTCACAAAGGTACTTGGAGCACATTCCATAGCCCATTTTCGTCCAAAACAGCTTGACGTCAGCCAAAATCGACCCCTTTTAAAAATTTAATTTGTCTTCTTTGTATTAATTCTCTTTTTGTCTCTAACGTTCTTATTGTCTGCTTCTTAAGTAACCTCAATCCATTTTTTAATCTTAAAAGATTTCAAAAACAAACAGTCTCCTCTAAAATGCCAAGAAAAGAAGCAAGCCAATTGTTGTGCTGTGTAAGCTGACGTCAATGTAGGAAGAAAAACAAAAAAAAATATTCTGCTGATTAAGAATTAATGCTGAAATGTCATGAACAAAAATGCTGAACCAATAAAAAAATTGAAAACTATTTTTTGAGGTAATTTTTTTGTCATCGATGAAGCTCAGATAGATTAAAAGTTCATAGCTTTGTACGTCGACTTCTTTTGTTATGGAAGAAATTTTTGAAGTAGAAAATTGAATGTTGAAAATTGAGATGATCTTATCTAAATGCATAATGGAATTAAATTTGTAGATGAAGTGAATGGAACAGATTTTTGAGAATGGGAATGTTGGGAGGACATTTTTGTATGCTTTTAGATTAAATTGCGGTTGATAAAGCACTTTGAGTTGATTATTGGGTTAACGGTTCGGTGATTGACTGATAAGATTGCCTGTTGATGGAATATATAGGATAAGGCATTGAATATGAATAGAATAACTATGTAGCTAAGTAGCTAGGTTGCTAAGTAGCTTTGTGACTAGATAGCTAATTAGATATTCAGGAGCTTTGTTACTATGAAGCTAAGTAGCTTGTCAATAGCTATGTGACTAGGTAGCCAAGTAGCTGGTCAGGAGCTATGTGACTAGAGAGCTTAGCAACTAGAAAAGAGCTAAGCAATTAGTCATAAGCCAAGCAACTATTCAGGAGCTTGTTATGACCTATATGACTAGAGAGATTAGTAGATAGAAAATAGCTATGTAACCAGCTAATCAAATATCTAGTTAATAGCAATGTGACAAGGCTATGTGCTAAGTAGCTATATGAGCTTGATGCTAGTCAAAAGCTATGCGACTAGAAAGCTAAGTAGAAAGTAAGATAAGGATCCCCTCTTTTACTTGAAGAATTTGGCTAAAAACATTGTAAAAAGTTCAAAAGTTCCACCACAATGTTCAAAAGAACTCACAAATATTTCCCAAATTCCACAGCAAACCACTCATTCAGTCCTTATTCTAATGAAGATTTCCCACCCAAAAACAAACGATAAGAGGATCACACAATGTAATCTGCGACTTACTTGTTGAAATATTTCATTTAAATAATTTTATAGCCGCGATGTTTTAATAATTGTGCCATAAACATTTCTGAACCTCATTAAACAGCATTTCAAGTCCTCTCTTAAAATATGTCCGCAATCTTGGGCAAAAATCGCAACAATTGTGTCATATTTTTATGACCCAGATTCAGACTGTCTTGATGTCAGGAAATATGAAATTTATTTTTTGTCGAGAAGCTTTAAATTTTTTTGGTTTTTGTGGGAATTGAAATTGAAAATATTTTAACCCAAAAAAGCCATCAAATTCATTTATTGTCCACAATGCCACAACAATAATGACTTTTGTAAAAACATTCTTGACAATTTCATTTCAACAAAACTATTTGGGCTAATGACTCAGATTTAGGAATTTTCCATCATTTTTCTTCATCCACTTGATTTTATTGCGTGCTCTGATGCTTATTCTTAATTTATTTATGTGCTCTAATGCACTAGTGTCTTGGGAATCTTGTGAGAAATTATATCTTCTTCCTCGACATGTCATGTCTTAATGAAATGATATTAAACATCGGTTTGAGGAATAGAATGAAACTATTTTGGTTGTAGGAGATTTTTTTGGATAGTCATCTTGACCTTTTACTGACTTGCGATATAAATTCCAATCTGGATGCTTCAGAGCCTTGACAACGATTGCAGCCATGTGGACAACTAATAAATAATTACATTATCTTCAATTTATTCATCAGTTAACATCACAATGCATTACATGCTTTTGAAATTAAACAAATGTCCCAATTCCTAATGTCCAATAATTCCGCAACAAAGTTCCATTTGCTACCCATCACTCCACAATTTTACAACACATTTAATTGACAATGAATCTAATTGAATGTGGATTTTAGTCAGAATTAAAATATCATGGCATGAAAATGTCATGTTTATATAACAATCAACAGAAGTCCTCATTTTTTTTAGTGCATTTATTTTATTTTGTGTCAGAAATTTTCATTACTGCTGTGCACAAATGCTGCTGTGTGTCCACTTGTTGGAGTTCTCTTTTTCTCACAGCCAGTAAATTCTCACTCAATTTACATAAAGCATGTCGAGGCATGTCACAATTAATTTTACGAATTGTTTTCTTAATGGCAAAATAAGTGAATCACAAATGTCGCGTTAAATTTTGTGTGTGAGCACATAATTCTGTCATTCTCCGTAATGATTGCATCTGCGGAGGTCTACATTCCACTTTTATAGCACAAAATGCAATATTTTGTAGTGAATCATGCGAGAAATTATAGTCGTAAGAAGACTGGAACCCGGATTTTTCATTTTATTACTGTGCAGTCAGCAGTCGCATTGTGAAGGAACTACAAATGACTTTCTACGTCATAAATTTCACCATCGTTTTTAAGTACACTCATCTTGTGCTTCACATCGCTTTCTTCTTTTAAATATGAGCGACGATGATGATGATGACGATGAAATGGTTATTCTTGGTGCTTTATGCTGAAAAAAAAATAAGTGGAAATTTCCTCGTGTTATTGAAAAAATTTATTGATATCCCATAAAATAAATATATACTGAGGATATGAGATTTGCTGTGTTTGCATAAAATGTTCTCATCTTTGAACTTTAATGGCTTTATCATTTATGCAAGGTATATGAACTGTTTGAGGAGCTTTTCCAATACAATCATGAGATGAAGGAGGTTTGGAACTAAAGATAAAATGTTGATCATTATTGCTTTAAAACTTATCGTGGAAATTTGTTGAATTTTCTGCAGTTTTGTAATTTATTCCAGTTGTCAGTACTTATAGATTAAATGTCAAAACGTCCAGCATGACTAGACTGTCCATCAGTTTTTGCCAGTTTTCTGTTAAAACGAGTCTGGTCCCGAATTGAGCTCTATAAAACCGAGACACACCAAATTTTTAAGCATTTTCTAAGAAAAATAGGTTCAAAAAAGCAAGACTAAGGATTTTAAGCGAGATTTCTTCAAAAAAAGCTTTGTCTGTCCTGCTCAAAACTGCGCAGTTGGACAGCCTTAATATGACTCACCATTGCAAGCAATAAAATCAATTCAGCTCCAGATATAAAATATGCAAAGATTCATTCTTGTTCTTCAAATCCACAATTTCTCTTTGAATATGCAAACTTATAAGCAGTTTCTTTATGGCTTTAAGCTACTCGTAGTTCATAAAAGTTTGTCTGCATTCAAGGACAAGTTTGCAATATATGAATATATTAAATTTTCTAAAAATATTGACTTTTCAAGATCAGTTCTGAAGATATCAAACTTTACATCTGAATTCTCAGCTTTCAATTGCATATTCTAAGTTCAATCTCACAATAGAGACCAGATAACAAAGAACTGAACCTTTTGAAGCTTTGATCCTCAAAGGCACTTACGCAAAACAAAAGAAATCCGACACGATTCTGAACCGGAGATGGAAGAAGATTTCTTTGAAGACAATAAACAACTGGTTTCCCTACAATTGCCTTTTTATTATTCAAACAATCCACAAAAGTGATTTGCATAAAATCAACAGTTGAAAGGATTTTGTTTTAAATATCAATAACATTAGCATTTCGTGAGAAGTTTCTGATAAAATTTGCATGATTGTTTTCGAAGTGCAAATTTGAATTATGGTGATTGTGTATTTGGGTCTGGAGTCTTTGAGGAAAGTTTCTTGATTTGCGAGGTAATTTTGGGACAAGCTTAAAGCAAATTATGGCTGTTGGTGCTAATGCAGCTTTGGCATAGTCAGGAGGAGATCTAAATGAGCATCAAACCCTCTTTCCCTCGGCAGTATTTTTCTGCTGTGCACTATTGAATTGATTAAGACTTTCCATCCCTAAATTATCGCAAAATATTCTGTCTGTGCCACTCGACGGCACTGCTCAGCTGAATTGAAATCAGAGCTTGAAGTCGATAGGGTTTGAGTCGACTCGAGTTGACTCGACTTGACTTCGAGCTCTGATTGAAATTCCACAAAAAATGATGTGAACCCGAAAAAGTACGAACATTGAGATTCACAAGATTCTTTTCAACCCCAAAAGAGTAAAACAATTAAAAGAAAATTCATTTAAAAGTAATGAAAGCGTTAAGTAAGTCAAGATGTTGAAGAATCCTCGAAAAGAAGGAATTCAATTAAAGCAAAAAAAGCAATTTTCAAGCTTGAGCAAGTTTCCAGCTATTTACTGGAAAAAACCAAAATGAAAAATTATTTAACATCCAAAAAAATCTTTAATATTTTAATTTAGCGCTTCTCAATCCACGGCATGATGGAGGAAGAAGGAAATTCGCTTAAACCGCATCAAGAGATCGCTGCACTCTCGCTTGAAGAGAAGCGATTTCTACTTGCAGTTGAGCGTGGTGATGTTGCAACAACACGAAGGTAAACATTTTTTTTCTGTATTTTGCTTTCATTTTTTTTATTTTTTATTTTTCAATTCCTTTAATTTTTTTTTTCTCTCTTTCAACAAAGTGTGACAATTTTCTTTGCAAACATTTAATGCTGTCTATTTTACTCAAAATAGATAAATATTTACACTTTCTTGACAGACTTAAGAAGACAACTTTTTTTTCTACTGCATGCTTAGCTGAACATTCATTCATTTCTCATTCTATTAGATTTACATTTAAATAAGTTGTTGATGAATTATTGTTGTTTGGTGGATGACTTGAGGCGCATTTTTAAGGTACAATGATTATTGTACGATATTTATAAGATTTTAATCTGATTCCTGGAGTGATTTCAACAGCGTTTAGCACTACAAAAGCTCTATGTTAAAGTTCAGGCACTTTCATGTCCTCAAAGGGAATAGTGACGTAGCTTTGGTTTGCTAAAATCATTAAAGACTGATTTAACATAGTTAAAGAAGTCAAAATTTACATCTACGTCGTTATAGCTTAGCCTAAATGACAGTTAATGACGTTGTGATAGTAAATTTCTTGCTGAACTGCTCAGTTTAATCCAGGCCACTTCTTTCTTTCATTTTCAACATTGTAAGCTCATGTTAGGTGGCAATAGGGTCACTAGGATACACCTAAGATGATCCTTGAACATCAGGACTAATTTAAATGTTCAATTCTCACCATAACTTGATGTATCTTCTGGTGATTTTACACCGAATTATTTGAAATCCCAACAATTCAAACTGAGCATCTCAAAACCCGAATTCCCTAACAAAAACGCGCTCAAGATCATCCTCAAACACAAACAAATGTTTATCCCACATGGATATGTAAATTTTGTAAAATATTTCTTCTTCATTTCATAGAATGCTTCAGAAGGCAAAAGAGACGGGTTATATAAACATCAATTGTGTTGATCCCTTGGGTCGTTCAGCATTATTAATGGCAATTGATAACGAAAATTTAGAAATGGTTGAGTTGCTCATAAATCATCATGTTGATACGAAAGATGCTCTCTTGCATGCCATTAGTGAAGAGTTTGTGGAAGCTGTCGAAGTTTTGCTCGATCATGAGGACTGTTCACATCGAGATGGTGAGCCGCATGTAAGTAAATTTGTGGATTAAGAGTGTAACTGTGGAGAATTTTGAAGTGTAAAGCAAATGAGAGATGATGCGATGCAAATGAACAGGAAATTTGAGGAAGAAGAAAAAAAATTGTGGAAGTGTCTTATTGAATTTTGATTTTTCTTCGCATAATGTCAAGTGTCAGCTGCGGTTTAAGATGTAGATTGAATCTGAAAAGTTTTACTGCTGGAATTCAAGGTTAGAGCTTCATGCTTTATTCCTTTTTATTTATTTCATATATTTCCCAAAATATTTCAATTTAAAATACAAAACTAGTCATTTAAAAAAATATTTTTATGGCTCATCAGTGACTGCAATTTGTTTATCTGCAATGTCTTTGAAGTAATCCTTAATTTTACTAATGGCATATCCCCCATACTCAGAATTAATACGGAATCCTTTCTTATCTCCCAAATACTGAATGTAATTTGAATTCTGACACTTTTGCAGCAAAGATATTGGTAAGTTATCTAGCGTTGAAACTGTAAATGATGCAGAACTATATATACAAATATTTGAAAGCATTTTCACTTTTCTTAAATTTGGAAGATCCTCAAAGACCAAAGCATCGATATGAATGAGCTTGTTTCTTTCAAAATTAACATATTTAAGATTCGGTGTGAATTCAAACAATCCAACGTCCAAAGCGACCAACTTGTTGTCATTCAGAATTAAAACTTGCAACTTTTTAAATTCATACAGATCCCATTTTTGAAGTGACATTAATCCTGATTTTTCCATATGAAAGGCTTCCAAATTAGGGAAAAACTTTGTGAATCCCAATGGTAAGAATTGTCGTGGCTGTGATGAAATTTGCACTGATTCTACATCCTTGTTTTCATATCCATTTAAATGCTGACCAAATATCTTTAATATAAATGACACATATGTCAAATCATTAATTTCAGTCACTTTGCAGTGATAATGTTTGGAATTTTCCGGTGCCATTGAGTCTGGAAAATATGCATCTTCACTTTCTTTGTCCAGGTCGTCTTTAAATTTACAATCGACTTCATATGCACTAGTTAAGTCAATAAGAACAGCTAAACTGATTAATAAATTCACAGAAAAATGCTTCATTATTTTGAATTTAAGACTTGATTGGTCCACAAATAAAATAAAACTGAAGTTAATGCTGAAAATATTTTTATTCATTTGATAACAAGCTTCCTCATATATAACAGATTAGAGAACATTGTCCCGAGCAGTACAATAATATTTGTTTGAATGTAAAGAAAACTTAATCATTTAACTTAGTTCCAGCATTTAAAATGCGGTTTTTTGTCATCAAAGTTGGTAATTCACTGTGTTGTTTTGAAAGAATGATGTTATTCTGTCAATTTCCTGTGAGCTGTACATGCTGTTAATTTCAAATCCTCGATTGTCCTTCAAATACTGAATGTATCCATATTTTAAACATCTAGCGACTAACTGCAAATTTAGATAACCTCTGCCTGCAGGTAAATTAACAAATGAATTGAGTCCTAAACTGCAAGCATTTTCATTAAATTCCACCGTCTTCAAACTATCACAATCACTAAATATTATTGGATCGACGTGGAATAACAAATTATTTGAAAAGTCAACATGTTTGAGGTTCGATGTGAATTCAAATAAACCAATATCAAGCGTCATCAAGTTATTGTAATTAAGTTGAAGAACTGACAAGTTCCTGAATTCATACAAGTCATATTTCTGAATTGATCTCAGTCCAGACTTTTCAATTCGAAGAACTTCCAAATTGTTGATAAACTTTGTCAATCCAATTGGAATGAAATGACAAACAAGAGATGAAATCCGGAGATAATTCACATCTTGGTTGGAATTATCAGAAGCAGAATGATCTCCTGAAATATTTGTAATAAACTGGATAGGCTCCAAAACATTCAGTTCTATTACATCGCAAATATAAGGATTAGTTTTTGGTTTGAAGTTTATATCTCTTGTGGAAGAAAAATGACTAATCTCCTCTGTATATCTGCATAATATGTTGTGTGAACTGACTAAGCACACGAACACAATGTCTAAAATAAGTAAACAAAACGTTACTGACTTCATAGCTAGCGTTAAAGTCTTGAAATATTCACAAATAAAATACAACTGAGTTCAACTTTCATTTTTCGGACATATTTAACTGTTTTAAAACGGATGCAAAACTTCCTGAGAATGTAAGATTAGAGGATTTTATCCCGAGTGGTGGATTATCACTAGCAAGAACTTAATACAGTCTCATTAATAATCAATAAATTTAAAAAGAAATAACCCCAAAATGTTTATGCTTAAGACATGTGTGACTCGGGAGGGCAACACAAGCACTTTATCAAGAGACTTATTATTTTCTAAAAATAAAGTTGAGTGCCATTTGTTGCTAAAAGTCATAGATATAAATTTGTCGACAAACTTCTCTCAAAATATGTCAATTTAGTTTTAAATTGTTGTCTATCCTCAATGACACCTTTATAAAGCTTTATAACTAGTAGCGTGGATTGTTTTATGGATTCTCAAGAAACAAAGTAAACTAAAGCATCGGTAACCCGATCAGCACACATTGAAATGTTTGCCACCTGGCAACTTGGTTGATAGTATAATTAGAACCAAGCAGCAGCCACTTGAAAGCAACTTCCAACTGGATGCAAAGTGGTTGCAACGTGGCTACCATTGCCAATTGGCCTGATGAAACTGATGAGCCATAAAAAAAATGTTATATTTGATTTTTTTGTATTTTACATTAAAGAGAATAAAGCAGGACGAATAAGTCTCCTAACCTTGAAATCCAGCAACAAAACTTTTTCAGATTAAATCTACATCTTAAACCTTAGCTAGCACTTGACATTATGCGAAGAAAAATCAAAATACAATAAGACTCACTTGAACTCTCAACTTAGAGCCTTAAATTCATGTGTAGCTGCAAGGATTTTCTGAAAATAAACTATAATTAATCAAAATTCTCCACAAAATAAACCAATGCAAATATTTTTTATCAATTTAATATCAAACTTTTACTTTCATCTCCATCTCCTGCATCCGAATCACAACACATTTCTGGAACTTCCGGGGCAAATTGATAATACCAATGAAACTTTACTGTTGTCATCATCATTGAAATGAACATAATTGACTAGTCTTGGGAAGCACTGCCAAGTGAGACAGCAACATTTACGCCAGGTACGAAAGCCAAAAGCAGTTTTCAGTAACAAAATTATTATTATTTTAAATTTTTATATCTTTATAGACATAACACCGCTCATTTTAGCTGCTCATCGAGATAATTACGGTGAGGGAAATGTCAAATTGATTCTGTGCCTTCATTTCGCATAACTTGAAGCGAGCTTAAGAAAAATTTTTATGAATTTTATTTTTTTCCTTTTCAGAGATAATCAAAATTTTATTAGATCGTGGCTCTACCCTCCCATTGCCGCATGACGTGAGGTAAATTTTCAATGTTTCTCGTCTCTTTTTTCCATCCTACTTACTTACTTACTCACTTGCTTGTTATAATATTGAAATATATGCAAAGTGGATTTTAAAGTACCGCGCTTCTAAGCCTCTTTTTGTGGCTGAATGAATTTAAATCACAGAGAAAAAAAATTGGGCGAATTTTAATTTTAAATCACAAGACATTAACGATGTCGAATGAATGAATGAGAAAGAAGTGGAAATGGAATTTTATTTATGGCAGTCATACGCTTTGTGGTTTTGTAATTAAGAAGTATACATTGTTTTGTGCTTTGGCAAGGTATGATAATGTTGTATGATATGGGTTGCTAGATCTACAGTCAGCAGGAACTGGAAATTTATGAATTTAGTTTTAAGCAAACTTATAAATCTTTACCTATTCAGATCAATTGAGATCCAGAAGAGCGCTAGGGCATTTTGCAGCTAATAAGAGTGTAACGAGTGAGGATACGGAAAACCACTGCACTCAAACCTAGATCTACAATTTATAGCAGAATCCGAACCACTCCTCTGATTACATTTCTGTCTGTAGTCTACAAAGGAAGGCTATGCGCCTCATGGACATATTATTAATGAAAAATGACAAGTGAAAATTTCCCCATGTCGAGTCTCGAACTCATGATCGCTGTGTCGGTATTGCAATAATTTGGTATCAAAGTACTAAACCATTCTGCCAACGAGCCACTTCAGCTCACAAGCAAACTTATAGCAAGGCTACATTCATAAAGACTAGCTTACATACATTTACATTGTAAACATGTTCCTTTGTGTAGCTTACAGGCGCATAGCCAGAAGGGATTAGGGGGACAAATCCCCAAACGTAAACAGAAATTTTTATTTTGCTAGGGTTTTTATGAAAAAATCAAAAAATCCACACACCCCCCCTCCCCTCCCCCTTAAATTTTTCCATACAAAAAAAATCTTCAAATTCCTGGCCACGCCCCTGGTAGCTTCGTTTACAACAAAAGGCTTTTCATCTGGCTCTGTCACCTCGTTTGTACAACTTCTCTGTCAGCACATTAAACTGACATTCTTTCATTACTGTCCTGCGCCAAGTAGCTATAAAGACTAGCTTAAAGCTTGCTTAATGACAACTTTTGAAGTTCTAAGTCAATAACGACTTATGATATTGTTTTAAGAGATTCAATATAAAATAAACAGCCTCGCTAGCATCTTACCTGTTTCAAGAGTATGAAGGATTCAAAATTACATATCAAAGCCTTTGAAGTATTGCTGCTATGGCAATCAAAGCTGTAGAGGAAAATAGATTTATAATAAATAAGTGCGGGTTATGTCTAACTTGAATATGATGCTTTTTAAGATGTGTATTGTTTGCCGTAGCTAGAGATTAATCCCAGCCAACAAAGTTGTTTTCCAGTTATAACTAGTTATACTGTTTATATCAAATACTCGAAACTTCAAGATTAAAAGTAACAATGTCATGAGCTTTTTTTGTATGACGTCTAAACGTTAATCTTAGATCCTATCCTTCAATGATATGCGTCACAAAAGTATGAACCCTAACATTAGCTAATAAATATCACTTCGTAATATGTAAAAGATTCCCCAAGTTCCAATCCTCTGAACATTCCCACAACAATCACAATATATGTCTTTATTACAGCATTCATATAAATAATAATCCACAACAATTTCCACGAAAATTCCACAACAGAAAAACACTTGAAGTAATTTCATTTTATTTATACACAAAGTATCAACAAAAATCCAATTTTGCAAATTTTCATTCCAATTAAAATCCCACAAAAGATTCAAAATTCACGAGAACGAGAAAATGATTTGTAAATGTGAAGAGAAACGCGCAGTGATACAAAGTCTTAAAAAAAATCTTTTGTATTAAAAAAATGCCGCATACCAAAAAAAAATAAATAAATAAATTTTCCTCTTATTACTTCTCATCTTTTTGCAAATACATCAAACGACACATCCAAAAATAATAAATAAATTGTCATCAACGTTGATGATGATGATAATGCTCATGACACACTTCTTGCTGTGCTTTGCATCATAAGATGTGGCTGTGATGAGTGCGTAACGTCGCGTCAGGAAGATTCATTGCGACATTCTAGATCGCGTATAAATGCCTATCGGGCTCTTGCTAGTCCAAGTTTAATAGCTTTATCATCCAAGGATCCAATTCTAACTGCCTTCGAATTGTCATGGGAATTGAGACGCTTGAGTTTCCTCGAGCATGAATTTAAGGTGAGTGAGTGTCGTGTTTGCTGCTTAATTGCCCTTATCTAAAGACTATCCATTTATTATATTTAGAATGAGTACATGGAACTGCGAAAACAGTGTCAAGATTTTGCGACAGCACTTCTCGATCATACGCGTTCCTCACACGAATTAGAAGTGCTACTCAATCATGATCCAACAGGTCCTGCCTTTGAGCATGGCGAACGCATGCATTTGAATCGTTTAAAACTTGCCGTAAAACTTCGTCAGAAAAAGGTAAGAAGCTGTATGATTATTTTATGTAAGATAATGCCTGAGAATGCGTGAAAGCATTCATGCAATAAATTAACGGTATAGACAAGAATTTACATGACAGACTTCTCTGTGAGCATCAAATATCATACTGTGTGAAAAATGAGAATGAAAAATTTTTGGGTAATGCCGGGGGAAATTTTTGAAAAGTTTGGTCGCTTTTGTTTCGAGTTTGTTTGAGTGTTGGTGCTGAATTAATTGTTTTTTGGGGGGAATTGGTTTAAAGTGTGTAGACATGATGAATTTTTATGGGAAATATGTGTTCTAGCAAGTCCTGTGTATTAGTCAAGACTATTCTAACTCAACTGAAAGGATCGAAGCGTTGATTAGCTCAAAATCTGTAAATCAATCCCGAATAGCTGAAGTCGGTTGATCAAATAGAGAAACAATTCCAAGCCGACATGATTCTGCAATTCGTTTTAAATCCAGCACCATCCCAGAGTCACACCGTCTTTGTGTTTGATTTCTGATCGATTAACCGATTTGTGCCATTCAAGAATGTAAATAATTTCTAGATTTCTAGATGTGCTGGACAAAACCTGAATTAATCACTTCAACAAGCCACAACAAGGTGGTCAGTAATGTTTGGATAAACAAGCTGACATTATGATTGAAGGCTCATTGGACCGTTAAGCCTTTAAACGTAGCATCAAGTCGGCTTGTTCCTAGTTCCACTACAAAATTGACTCTACACTAGCCTTCCTTTTGCAGGGTTCTGTCAATTTGTTCTTTTTAAGGATACTCGACAAGACTTGCTGACTTTTTAATCTGACTCTATCAATTGAATTCAATACCAATTGCATAATTATTAAATTCAATGCTGTGCATTTGATGCAATAAACTCGATAATGTGCAAATATTTATTGACTATTATTAAAACAGTGAGTACATTCATCAGCTAATTAGATTGATTTTGAATGTTAATAACCAAGTTGATAATGAATTATAATTACATAATAAAATAATATTTAGTGATTTGTGGATTATGAGTTGAATATGATTTATTGAGGCTTTCGATGAAATAATGATTAAAATAATTTTTGGAGCTGAATTTTTAATCCAGGGGGGTTTCTGGATTTAATTTTTAAGTAATTAAGTATATAATTTGCAGCCGCAGGTATTCAGAAACATAGATAATTAGGACATGAGCTTGTGGGACTTTTGATTTGAATTCATAGAATTTTGAATTTTTGTGACTAGTTCCAATCTTAGTTGAATCCACAGTGGCTCACTTAAACTCAAAATGACTAGCTTCATCCTTCTTGCTACGATGATTATCATCTGGAATCGTTCTCTAATCAGGATCCATGTCTACCACAATCTGTAAATCTCAATAATATCCAAAAACTGATCGGACATCCAAAATAGCTTACCCTCAAACTTCAAATATCATTTAAATACAGAATTAATTTTTTTTCTATAAAAAAGTCATGTTAAAAACTTTTTTTTGCTTCACGACTGACAAAAAAATTACCTCAACCTCAATAAACACAAAATTCTCATGGCCCATAAAACGCTTCCTTTTAAAACCTCACAAAATATTAAATTAACAACAGTCCTCGTGTTATTCAACCGAAATGGAAACAAAAATAGCTGAAACCCAATTTTATTTTTATTTTTCGATTTGTGGAGATAAAAATAATAATTTAGTGCTGCATTTTTAGTGGAATATATCCTCTCTCTTTAACAATACTGTTCCAATTACACACACCGTAAATAAGAAGTGAATTTGTGTGAATTAAACGAGGCGTAAAAAGCTTTTGGTGTGTGTCATTTGTCTATGACTTGCCTTCTTCTTTAATTCCCATTTTGGTTGGGAACATAAATTGTGAGGGATGAACAGATGAGAATGATAAATGGCGAGAGAGGAAAAAATGAAAATTAATCTAGTTTTAAAAGGATTTATCTGTGGAAGTTTTGAAAGAGTTTGTGTTTGGGATGTGCTTTGGCTGATTAACAGGAAGGCATCAAGGGGTTCAGATTTGATAGAAATGGCAACAAAACATCCCCCACTCCCCCCCCCCCCCCCCCCCCCCAAGCTACTTAAAAAGCGATTTTTCAATTATGTTGGTCCATAGTCTAATTAGAATCTTTGATTCTACATTCTTTAGTGTCTCATTTATTTAGTAAAGCAGCTGAAGCCATTGGCGACACAGTAGTTTATCACAGATCATAGTTTGACAGCTCTGACTTCTCTTCTTCAACTTCTAATACAACAAAAATTGCCTTTAACCTTTAAAAACACAAATTTCTCTTTAAACATGCTCTGACAACCTTGAATTCAATTTCATTACTGCTCAACTCTCTAAAAAAGTCTCCCTCCAAAATCACAAATTCCTCTCATTTCATTGAACACCAATTTTACCCCTCAATATCGTTATCTACAATTTATTATCGATCACATCTTAATTTTTAATCCTCCAATAATTTTTTTTCGATGCTCTCATGTTGAACAGTTTAATCTCAATAAAAAATAAAGCGGAAAAATTAAGCATAAATCGCTGTGTCAATTTTGCATATTTAAGCGTGAAATAAACCCGATCGGCACACATTAAAATATTTGCCATCCAACGGTAGGGTTGATAGCATAATTAGAACCAAGCGGAAGTCAATTGGCAATGAAAACCACTTAGCGTCCAGTTGGACATAACTTCCAAGCGTTTCCAAACATTTCAATGTGTGCCGATCGGGAAATGAGTCTGAATTTTTTTTTTGGGGAATTTTTCGTGTGTCATAAATTTAATGAATTTTAAATTGAGTTAGGAATATTTTTTGATGAGATTTCTTTGGATTTATGAATGAAAATTTTATGAGGTTTGATAAGATTTTGAGGATATATTTATGTATAGTCAATATCCTATCATGAGCAACTGAGTGATTGAGTGACGGTGTGAAGGATAATCAATTTATAATTGGCTGAGGAATACAACTGGAACCCTTAAGAGTTATGGATCCCCAAGAACTCTTAAATAGTTCTTTCTACAACCTCAAAATCACTACAAAAATAATAGACAACAATTGAGCAATAAAATCCATAAAACATCTCCATTATCCTCCTTATAAACAGGATATAAACCGTAAATTTCCTCAAACACTTTAAATCAAAAATTTTCAGTAATAAAAAGGAAATTTTCACTCGAAAAAAACAACATTGAAGCACAAAGAAGAAAGTAAAAGAGTTTTGAAAGCACAATAAATTGCTCATAAAATTTATTATGAAGTAAAACGATAATAAAGTTATCATAACAAAAAATACATATATTGAATGTTTGGTTATTAAATTGTTTATGTTATTATTGATTTTGCAATAAAAATTAAGCTCATTCGAATGATTTATCTGGGAATCTTTTTTGTTGGTTGTTGTTATTGACATAATTCAGCATCGCCAGACTTTCATTATCGAGAGGAGTTTTTGAGATTTAATTTGTTTTTTTTGTGTGATTTAAAAGCATATGTATGAATTTTTGGCGGGAATCAATTTTTTATCAAGACATGTCTGGTTGCATGAATTAAGCTTGGCAAAATCAGGGGACGGCTTGTAAGACTTTCCTGTGCTATAAGTGATGCCTTATAAGGGATGGTATATATGTGTCAATTTTTGATCCTCTCATGAATACCACGGTTAGCACTAGAAACCAGGGTCCGGTTTCTAAGGCTCCTTAAAGCACCCTTCCTAAATCTCAGATTAATATTATTTATATCCCATATTATAGTACATTGTACATCATTCTTGCCCTAAGGTGTCCCGGGTAGACCTAGAAACCAGGCTTAGCACCAAGAGTTAGAGTTGATTGAAAGGTTTTGATAAAAATCGAGACCCAGACATACAATCCCCTCTTCATAAGGCTGATTAGTTCAAATCTTCAATTAAACTTAACTATAACAATTGAGATTCTACTTCTTCTTCTACACTGTTCGTACAGATCAAATGAGCTCCATGGCATCAAACTAATGAGATTGACACTCCTTAAAGTGACTCACACCCTCAATCTTTCAACCCAATCCCTTCAACAATTCCCCACAGCAGATCAACAATCAAATGATTCCTCAATAAATATCGCCAGCATCTGAATAGGCAGTTAAATAATATTTTACTTACTGCATCATACTCATAGTCATTAATGACAAAGAAATATAGAAGGCAATAAACTTTAATTCCATAAAAAGATCACAATCTAGCACACAGCACTAATAAAATCGAGTCAATTAATGCTCTCTTAAAATTATGCCGTTTATATACTCAAAAAATTGTTATAGTGAAGCAACAAAAAATTTTTCACAAATAAATCTTATCCAATGAAGTCCCATACTCTCACAATTTTAAGCATAATGAGTGCCTTATTACCATCATCATACTTTCTTTATATATAAGGAATAAATAGATGAACATTAATTATTATAATGCTGTCATGAAATAAGAACGAGGCGAAACGAATGAGTTTTAAACTTTAATTCATTGCATGTCGGATAAGAGCACAGTATGTCTTACGTTTTGCTCGAGCAACATGAAACTCTGAAAATTCCTTCTTCATGACACCGCTGCTTTAAACTTAATTTATCCATGAATAGACATTTAACTGGATTTTTTTGTTTTTAAGCACAAAGTATAGAAAGTTGAGCTCTTTTCACAGCTGACACGAATACAATAATCACTCGACGCGCTCCATCACATGGAATTGTTTTTCATTCACTTATATGTACACAATGTTTTGAGAGAGATTGAATTGGAGCACAAGCTATCCTTCGTGATCAGCAGAAAAACTGGAGCAGAAACAAAAAAAATATTATTAAAGGTCTCACGAACAAAAGGCTTTTGTTCTGTTGTGGAAAGCAGGGGTGTAGCTAAGAAGGAGGGACAAGCTTCATCGATTCCTCTCTTTCTGAAAAAACAATAGCTAAGCCCCTGTTGATATCGTAAAAAAATATAATTGAAAATTAAGTAAAATATTTCGGAATTGGATTGC